TGACGTTCGCCCTGCTGGAACGTGAAAATCTACGCTGTGGATTGACGTAAAAACGCGCACGTGAGAGAAGGATCAGAAAAAAGTTTCAAGTTGCCAACTCTTTCGAGAAAACGTGCCGTACGCGCACACGTAACATACGGGGCTTCGCTTCACCCTCCCGCCGTAAACGAAGTTTCGGCCGAGAATACTTTTCCTCCCTCCTTCTCGCAGGAACATCAATAATGAACATGTCTGCGGAGTGAAACTATAACGAGTAACCGCGAATTAATTAACTTGCGTATTTATCAAAGTTACCGTTCGAATTCCCGCGTTAATTTCGTCATCATCAATGCGGCGCGACGTCGAATGTACCGATTGTCTATGTCGCGACTATCTGTATGTGTTTGGGCACGCGCAACTGATTGTTTTTTTATTCATTTTTATTTCGCAATTTCATAAAAGCAATAAACGAAACTCGATACACCAGTCGCGCAACTAAGTGTACTTAATTGCAACGCGTTGATCCTAACGCGCGATATGTACAGACAGCAAAGGAGAGAGACAGAGAGAGAGAGAGAGAAAGAGAGAAAGTGAGAGAAAGAGAGAAAGTGAGAGAAAGAGAATCGCGTTTAATAAATTAAATAACGCGTGATATTGAAAACACCTAATCCAATTTTGCGCTACATTTAACGTAACGAATTGGAGTATATCGATGAACAGTACGTTCGAAATATAGCGCGTGTGAGCGCGAACGAACCGTAGTAAGTTTAAATCGGACCTACTTGGAACCAAGAGCGAACCAATAATTGTCTGCTTTAACGGGAAGATCGGCTAACTTCATTTAATCCGTGCTGCTTATCAATTACAAGCGTTCGGCCTGATGTGCTTTGTTAATTAATGTCCGACGTGAGCAATCGCGATTGAATTAGCTGCCGATTCGACGCTGTGACGAAAAATAATGCCGAGTTTAACGAGACGTAGCGTGCAAGCTGTCTCCTTCTATAGAATGATCGCCGGTAGCTTACATTATAGGGTAAATTAACGTAACGACGAGCGAACGCGAAGCGCTGTATATTTACCTCCTCCTTGAGATTTCACGGCATAAAGTCGAGATTGCGAGTCACGGCCAATAATGAAAATCACGACTGCAACGTTGGATAGCAAATATTTCGCGTAACTTTTGGCGAGATTAAACCGCTCTTCTTTTCCCGCGTGACGTTACACGCCGGTGCGGGGCGAAATACGAAGGTGGTTATTGCTTCGGAACACCGTAAAGAGAAAGAACCAATCAAAACGGCGGGGAGAATGGCCACTCGTGAATAGCGACGGAATGCCACTTTCATTAAGACCTTCTCGAGATGCTGAAAAGCCGTTTCCCCCTTCCGATAGTTTACCTTTTCCGACTGCTCTCTTTCGGTATTCGAGCAACATTTCGAGGTCCGGATCAATAAACACGTTCACGATGCTCCGCGATTTTGTTAATTTCACCATCATCGGAGGGATTAAATATTCCGAAGAAATTATACGTATATATTTATCATAACGCGAAATTGTTATTACGCGCACGTGATTTATTCTTTCAAGTTGAATCAGCGAAAATATCACTAGTCGAATTATTAAAACAATATTCTACCAATAATTAGCGAGTATCCTCTAATTTTTCATGGAAACTCTTTCTTAATTTATTTGTCTAATATTTCACTTTGGCCAGCGAAAGATTCACTGGAAAATCGCGTCCCGTGGCAGAAATATATGCGCACAGCCTTTTTATAACATAATATGAAAAATATTATTAGAATTAAAGAAATTAAACGTGAGATATTTCAATAGAGATTTCTATAGAGGTATTTCAATTGTTACCATATACACATGTATATAATGAAAGACTGTATATACGTGCGGTCGTCAGACTAAACGGTAGCGTTTCGATTAAAATTCTAATTAAAGGGGCGAAACACAGGAAAAAAATACGAGTCCGCGGCTCGCATTTGCGTCACGCTGCGAGCCGCATCACGTCCCGTCACCATCCGGCGAAAGCTCCGAAAGCAATTATTCCCGCGGGATATCGCAAAGATAGAAAGATAATCAAAACAATGAGGAAGATTGTTAAGCGATTTCGCGAGTCGCAACGCGAGTCGTTGCATTGCCGCCTTAGGTTCCTCCGAAAGTCGTTACGCCAACAGAAACTGTTATTCTCCCTTACGGGAATTTATTACTCCTTTCTTCTTCTTCTTATATCTATGACGGTATATTACCCGAGTAACCACGCAGTTTCATTAAAACTTCACGCGGATGTGAACTTCCGAGATATGATATTGCCAAGATGCAGCAGCCTTCATCTTCGAAGCACTCAGAATACATTCTCGTGGCGATTAATATTATTAACGTCGGGACGCGCGCGGCAACATCGAATATAATACTACCCCCTCCCACCCCCACCAGCGGGAAACTCGCAGAATTTAAAGTATTTAATCTCCTTTGTGAGTGTTAACTCCCTCAACCGAAAATGGCTTCTGCGTGTTCGCCGCGACGAGTAAAACTCGTTTTCAACTCGCGATCATATAAAAAAAAGGGGGGAAAAAAGAACATCGCCGGCGGCGTAATTTCAGGTGTTTCATATTTAATAGTCTCACACTGCTCTTAACGAGTTCCGATGTTTACCTTTACTGCGGATTCCTTCGTAATGCTCTTGCAATATCGCTAAACACGCGACAGTAATTTCGAATTTAAGAGCCGCCGTGAAGAAAGAGAACCGCGAGAAATCTCCGGGACATTGCATGGCCCACGCATGGAAATGATGTGCGTACGTTTTACCGATGCATTTTTCAACACGACATTTTATATATACAATATATGTTTTTCTTTAATGTATCAATTATTTACGAGTATACGTAATTGATTAAATTTCCCTCAAACCCAATTTTCTCGTTCTTTTCTCTCACAGCTGCGCGACGTATTTCGCATGAGCGAAGAATACACGGCAAACAAATAAATAATTAAACGCCTCCGCATGAACGGAACGAATTTTCACCGCTGAATTTTCCCCGACGAGGTCCGTTTTACGTATCCCAGATGAATACAATTGCAAATTTGTTTCGTCGGTTCTCCGTCGGCCGAGTTCGCCGTCGCGTCTCACGCATTTTCAACGTTTCACGAAGCGGCGAGGCGTCCCGCGCGAAGTCCGTCAAGATTTAATGGACCCGGCCGGGTGTCACCTCGGGGCGACGTTTCATTTTCGAGCGGGCTCACGCGGGGCCGATTCGATCGGCACGCGGACGTGATTTTACAACGTTAACCCGCCGCTTTCGTGATCTCGATGTAATTTCGCAGATTTCCCCTTCGAGTCGCGTTTACCTTGCGCGTTTGCCTCCGGCCTATTTCCCTGGGAGGCTCATTACTTCTCTTAAGCCCGCGATGCCCTCGGCCGTCGGTCTCGTAAACACCGCGTCTCCGGATTACCGGGACAATTTCGGTGCTTAAGCGCGACCGAATGTCACACCGCGAGCGTCGGATACACGAAGAGCGACGAACCCCAGCAACAGATCGCTATTAACGATCGCGTACGACACCGCCGTGCGAAGACCGCGTCGCGCGATCGAAAGACGACGATCGTACAGGCTCGAGTCGGAAGATACCCTTTCTCACTCATTAAAGAAGAAAATATCGGAGAAATTCAAGAAGAAACGCTTTCCCTTCGACATCGTCCTTCGTTTCCTCCGTCCGGTTTGTCCTTCGCGAATATTCCGCAACCTTTTACAACGTAGCGCGCGACGCGCGACGGTTTTACCGCGGCTTTTTGCCTCCGGAACCGAAGGACGAGGCGGCCGTTGCAATAATCGAACGAAGGGCGAAACGATTGCTCATCCGGAGGCAATATTGCGATATCGCGGCCCTAATTGCGTCCGACCGATTTATCGCTCGCGTACGTATTTTGCGTCGCCACGCAGCACCGCAGCGGAAATGCAGCTGGTTGCGGATTAATTTGCCCAACCCCTCGACCCAACCCTTTGCCGGCTTCCTCCGGCTCGGCCCTCGATCGCGGGAGCCCGACATTTCAGATGGGATTCGGTTAACGTGCGGCTCACGGAGGTAATGGACAGATGCCTGACCTGAAAGCGCTCGCGAGTCGTCCCGGCCGCGTAATTACGCTCCTCCAAGTCCACTTTGCGTCGTTTATCCGGCAGATCATAGCGGATACTTTTCCGAGCGTGCTGCAAAACTCAACGTCGCGTCTCGCGCCTCTGTGCCACTTAAGTCCTCCACCGCACATTAACAATACATTAGCAATACTGAGATAAGTATGGTGCCGGGATTAATCAGTAATTACGGTCCGTATTAGAATGAAGCCCGCTTCTTACATTATTTCGGAAATAATTCATCGTCGCACGCGATAGATAAATAATACGTAACTTATAATTTAACGTATAACAAACATATTAGAACACTTTTTGCACGCCACACCTTTCACGTGTCAAACGTATCGACATCATTTCTCGCTTGTTGCCGCTCCCGTCGTTAAAAATGTCGTAATCATCGCGCTGTAACGGTTGGATTCACTAATTGTGATCGATATAACGGTTATTATTGTTCCTCAAGAACGTTTAGGGGAACGCCAAATATAGTCGCGACCGATCACGGCCAGCCTCTGCATGGGATACGTGTTTAAACTCAAGCGCACTTCTCGAGCGGTTCTCGAAAAGTTGAGAAGTTTCGGCGCCGGAAATTTCCGACACCGTTAACGGCGTGTTCGCGCAACATTTTAACAAACGAGCTGACGGCGAAACAGCTCTTCTCGGCCCGGCTTTGAATCTGGATAATGAACTTCTCGAAATCCCCTTTGCCTTCCGTGAGCGCGCGCGCGCGCGTATATTTGGCGTTTATTTCCACATTCCGCTGGGCGTACGTTGATTAGCCTCTGATTCGTCGTGAAAATTCCGGATTCGCGAGAGCTCACTTTCACAGAGGAGAGAGGAGAGACACGAGAGCTCGGCATTAACTCTTGACCCTTCGATTGCCCGCAGATGATCGCGCCGTCTCGCCGACGCTCGCGTCGACGGGTCGCGTCGTCCTAAACATCCCGGGGCTCGAGGTGTGCGATGACTCGTGCGGGACCGACGGAATCGTGGAAAGAATCCGGCGGGAAGTCGCAAATGGCCGAAGATCGATACTGCGACGCGAAACACCGTGAAAATTCCCGAGGAGATCGGGGGAGCCAGGTTCGCGAGCGAGCGGTGAACGGCGAGCGGCACCCGGTCGACCTTCCGCGAGATCGATGCTTGTAGACTTCGAGGCGCACCGCGGCATCTCGGTCCCTAGGAACGTGCCATCAAGAGCGGAGAAAACCCGCGGAGATAACGACGAGGACGATGACAGCCGCCTGAGCAGCGGCCGGCGTCAGCATTCGCGCGGAACACCACGAGGACAGCAGCCCGCAAAAATGAGCTTCTTCAACTCCCTGCAGGAGTACGTGACTAACAGCGTGAAGAGGTTCTCGTTCAGCCGCGAGGACTCGGCCACCAGCGGGACCGGAAGGAGCAGCTCCACCGGAAGCGTCACCTCGACCACCAACACCGGCGCCACAGTTTCCCAGCAAGCCACGCCGCACGGCTTCCCCAAGGTACGGTGATTAACGGTAAACGTACCGTAGACTGGGAGACCTATTTAGTTGACTCCATCGAAACGCTTGTTTGGACACGGGCAAACAGATGTTTCGGTTTATAAGATTTCAAATTTACCACTCCGAAACGAAAACGAAAAAGGTTTGATTCGCGGAGCCGAATTATGGCAGCCAAAAATACATTTGTTTGCCCGTATACGAAGCGAGCATTTTTTGTTTGGATTAACTAAATGGGTTTCCCAATGTAACGCGCGGGCCATTACGACGGCGTTATATTCCATGAAAATTTCATCCATTTTTTTTATTTCCCGACAAATTTGTCATCCTCGTCGGGTGACGCGTGGAAACTACACACACGGCGGGGGACTTGGACGTGCGCGCTTACGAGACCGTGAATGTTGAATGGAAGATTGACGCACGAGAGAAAGGCCGTACGGGAGGCGAACGGGGAGTTGTGTGCGCGCGGCAAATAGTAACTTTTATTAAACGACTTTTATAAACTTTTTTATTAAAACGAAAAAAAATAGAGGAAAAAGAGGATCGGAGGACTAATCGCGTTACATTGATCGACTACACACTTAAACACGGACAGTTCCCAGATAACCGGTGCGCCATTGAGAGGCAGGAAGCTCGTGTGATTAATGCGACTCGTAATGTGTCTCGTTGTTTAATTAGATCACATACACATACATCGGTCATACCAGTTCGATAATCGGAGGTGGTAGTTTCGCGAACGTTCGAGGCGACATTTGTCTTTCACCCGTGCGGGTCGAGCGAACCGATTAATCGGGCACGCAAATTTACGTGAGTAAAATAGCAAACGCGATAAATTACGGCCGCCCGGCTCTAACCGAAGGTCTAATTGCGCGAAGCCAAGATTAACTCCTTGCAAGCGGCGCGAAATCGGCCAAAGGACGGCCGTATTTTCTCTTGATTAAAGAACAGCGAGAAAGGCGACTTTTAAAGAGGACGTGTCACGCCGCGAAAGGTGAATACGGCCGGTGTCGCGCGTTGTCTGTAAAAGAAAAAAATCGACCTATCGATTGCGCGTCGGAGCCGGCGTAATTAGCCGCCTGTTACATCGGTGCTAATTCGCGTGAATATGAAAAATTCACCACCTCGTGCGACGTCCCTTCTCCCCTCCCCCGCGGCGTCACGAATTTATATCCGACCGGCTGTTGTTGTTATTTGTCGTTCGTTGAGAGCGCGAAACGTCAAATTCGGCGGGAAGTTCTAACGATAAATTATCAATGATGACTTGGCGATTCTAATCGAAATTTGTTAAACGTGATGCATCAACGATGAGCGCGCGTCGTTCTAAATTAGGCGCCGTTCTAATTAACAAGTGACAAGCATTATTACGTTAAACAAATCAAGGCCGATGTTATCAGCGATGCATCACTCCGCGCGGGATACGCGTAATAACGTTGCAATTTTCCCTGATCGAATAAACATCATCTCCGTCTGAAATGCATATTTATTCATTCTCGCGTCGACACGTAAAAATGGCCTGTCGATACGAACGAAAGGTGCGCTTTTCTCCCCCATGAAAAACAATGTATTTATTGGCATCGGCCTGCACGAGTGAAAACGTATATTAAATTACATGTAGAAACGGGCGGCCCCGCATACGCTGTGCAAATAGAAAAATCCTACTTCCTTCAATTTCCACAACCGATTGCCTTCTTATTATATGACACAGACAATCGTTTCTCGCTTCCTTTGATCCGCTCGTTAATTTATCAAATAGCAGTATTGTCGATGGCAGAAAGATCGCAACATTTTTCTCCCAACGAGCCTCGGGGCGCATTCGTTACCCGTCAAGTAAAGTAATAAATCTTCTGCTTCAATTATTAAACAATAAATTCCTTTATTGAGTACAAATGCATTCGCGAGACTCGTCGGGGGAAAAAATGTCGCAGCTTCCCGGCTACTGACTGCGTGCCTCATTTGAATATTATAGAACTCGCCAATTAATTTATTCGCATATGCACGTTACGATTAGTACTATCATTATTAATGTTATTCTTGTTATTATTATTGTTATTATTTATGCTATACATCGAATTATGCCCGGGACCGAGCGTTGAAACGATTAATAAATTAATTCGGGGCGCCTGTTCGCCAATTCGCGAGTCCGGGTCCTCCGGCTCCGATCGCGCCCGGTATTCTTTTCCAGCCGACCACTTGGCGATCGTCGTCGCCGTCGTTTCTCGTCGACGCGTCGAGACGCGTCTCTCAGACGTTCCGCTTCTTTTCTTTTCAGGTCGTGCCGCCGCCAGGAACCGTCACGTCGTCGCACACGCGCTCGCTCTCGGCACGTAGACGCACCCTCGAGTGCACTTCCGCCCCGGGACTGACGGTGCATCCTGCGTCAGGAAGCGGCGCCACGTCGCCGAGAAGAGTCGGCTCCTTTCGCCGTAGCGGCGGATCCGACGATCGACCGCCTCTTCCGTCGTTCTGCCGTCGCAGACCGTCTTGGCAGGAGTTTGACGTACAGGCCACTTCCGGGTAAGTAGCTCGGTAACGAGCGCGCGTCTCACTGGAGAGCAGTCACACACTTCCGGTCTTCCGCCGCGAACGTCCCAGATACACGTAAAGTACGAGGCACCACTTACGGTCCGATGGAAAACAATTCACCGAGACGACTCGGTTCTTTCTCGAAAAAAGAAAGATAAGAAAAGGAAAGAAAATCGTTGGAGAGAGATTGCGGTTAATAACGTGACGGTGATAATAACCTTGACACCGTTGATTATCGCGATAATTACCACTGTTTATAAGAACTTTATTGAAGATTGAATTAGTAAAGATACAGTAAATAAATGTCGCTCGAGATATTTTTCCTTTCATTGGTCATTGAAGCAATTTTTTAGGTATACCTTATTTAATTAATTACATCTTATACGTAACCGATAAGTTATGGACATAATTGTAATATAATAACAATTATTATTATATATTTTATTGTAATTATATTATAATTATATTATTATATTATTATAATTATTGCAGAATAATAATTATTATTATTACAAAACGCGGCAGTGTTATGATGCCGGTCGTTAGTGATCAGCAGGACGTTCAACGTACACAGTAAAAAATGTTGTGTTAACATTAACATGAAGAATGTGTTGAAAAGTATACGAATATAATGTTAAATTAACATATTTACCTTGTCAACGTATGTTGACAGGTTAATAGTTTTTGACACGCTCCTCACCTTAAAATAACAAAATTTCAGTGGGCCTTAACACAAAATTGTTTACTGTGTTATTAAAGTGCGCACGGTGAATTTGATATTTTCGCACACGCGTCAGCAAATATCGCACATATTCGTACGGCACGTTCCACGTCTGATCCGATTATTCGGAAAGTAGCTTAAGCCAAGTTACAAAACGCGGTGGCGTTGAATTTACGATAACGACGTACCACCGATACGATCTGCCGTTTTAATAACGTTCCCCGGGCACACGAGGTGTACCGAAGACAAATGCGGCGATCCACGCGATTCACCGCGGCGCGAATTATCAAGATTCACGGGACATTTTTACAAACGAGGTATGCGAAGCACCTCGTCGCGGTGGATTCACGAGAAGCTCTTTCGCTCGTTCTCGCCGGGACGGAAGGACGGCGCGTGTTTCGTCGCGCCTGCTCGAGCGAATCATTTCGTTTGATCGCCCCGTCGCGAATCTTCACAGCTGAATACTCGCCGGATGCTGCTCTCGACGCAGTCTCGAGTCGCATTCAATATCGGATTCCCATTAAGACACCGGCCATTCAGCGCTTTAATCCGGTTATGACGGCGTTGCGCGCTCAACTTTCCAGTTAACTACGTCCTCGTCGGTCGCGCCGTTCGGAGGATGGCTAATCGGTCGGTTGGTTGCGCGAAACTTTTCGAACGCTTTCTTCCGGGCTGCATTATTATAATAACGTAAAAGTATAGATAGGAAGGCCTCAGTGAAAAGATCGATTCGATCGACTGTCCGAATCACACGGCTCAGGCGCCATTTCGTCGGACGAAAAGTGGCTAAAAGTTTACGACGATGTGCCGGCAAGATATAATAGGCAAATCCCTGCCGGAGTTTTGCGCGTGAAATGCGAATGTGCTTTTAACAAGACCGACTTTCCACCGAATCAGTTCGTTGCATATGCATAAGCACGCGACCGGCCATCCAATGCGAATTGTTAATCTCTCCTTTTTAAGTTCGCCCCCCCCCTCCTTTCTCTCTCTCTCTCTCTCTCCTTTCTTTTCTTCCTTCCCTTTCCCTATTTCTAGGGACGAGCGCTTTTGCCGACATGGGTGGTTTTCTCTCGCGCGACATTTCCATGCGCGGTAAATCTGCAGAGCTCCATGAGGGAACGGGATTGCAACGGTGAACGCGAGCAGGCCGCGGGATCTCAATTGCAACGTGCTCTCTGTAAACCGATAGTCGCGCGGCGGGCCCCGATAGCATTTACATGCGGGAACAATAAACAATAATATCGCTTTTGTATACCGTTTCAAAATGTACTGTTTTGTTTAAAGAGCCGCATGAAAAATGGCGAGGTCGGCGCGATATGAAAGGCTTTATCTGGCCGACCTATTTTCCAAAGCAAACACACGCAACCATTATCTGTCTCCGTAGATATTTTATATATATATATGCATAAGTATATTTTACATATTTTATGCAAAAATACGCGCGTATACGGAAATATTTAATGTTCAATGTTACGAGAGGTTTGATATTTAATTCAGAAAACGATTACGATTGAAATATTTAACCCAACGGAGCCGCGCGTTGCTTCGTAACGTCGCGCAATAAAACGCGGCCGTCTTCGCGTAAGATGAAATATTCATGAGAATTAGCGAACGCGGCGCGTATAGGTTGCGCGGATGAATGATCAACGACGATTACGCGAGAAGCGCCGGCATTTTTACGACCGACGGGAATAATAACGCGTCTCGGCGTCTCCCGCTGTTTCTTTGAACTTTAATACGAACTTTCCCGACCCCCCGCGTAACGCAGTCGCATAAAGTTGACGTACGCTCGCGTACTCCCGCGCGAGAGTTTCCGATGTGCGCGACCGTCACGTACACATATTTTCCGCCGGGAGTCTTCCGCTTCGCGTGTCACGGCGGAGCGCGCACCGCGAAAATAACCGGGACGATTTATTCGCGGCGAGTGTGAAAAATCGCGATCGTGTGTCATCTAACGAGAGAGAGAGAGAGAGCTTATACGCCGGCGTTCGCCGCCGGGAAGAGCTTACGTCCGATTTCGTTCGTGTTGCCGTGATGAATCGTCGGTAAAACCGCGGCGAGTGGCCGATGTCAAACGCCCCGACAATCGTAAAACAGCCGCGCATTTCGGTCGCGCAACGACCTCCGGTCGTTAAACTTGATTGATATTCGGGACTTTTGATTCATGACGAATCGCGTGAAACGTCCCGCGCGGAGCAAATATGCCGTGCGAATCGCACGGTTGGAGAATAACGCGTCACTTGTTACGCCGCTACCGCTACCGCAAGTTATTGTTTTCCGGTAACGACTTGGTGACGCCACTGTTACTTCTTTTCGTTAGTAATGGCGGCGATAACGCGGTTACATTTTTCCCGGACAACGGTGACGAATGCCATCGTTATTTTTATCGTCGTTTCGCGTAGAATGCGCGAAACCGTACAGCTATCGATACAGCTAAAACAGCCGTGGCTGCATTTTTACTTTTTCATCAGCTGTCTCAACGTCTCCCCGGCGAAGGAATATTTGCAACTGAATAGCTGCAATGAAGATTGGCAGAACGTTATATTAGCCACATCTTTGCTGCCGCGGCGGATATAACCGGACTGTGTTACTCGGGTCGTTTTGATCGTCCGGGTCGACGCTTAGAAAAAACGTAACTGTGGTAAACACGGTGGGTACAGAAGCGTAGTTCGAAATCCGACACACATTTGTTTCCATCACGACCCGACTGGATGAAATCCGCGGCGGGATTTAATGCGACCCGCCGCGCGCGAGATCGCGGTATACGCGCGGCATGAAACGACTGTTTAAATAACGCGAGCGAAATAAGATCGGCGAGCAACGGATACAACGATGTCGCCGTGCGGAGCTATCCGCGGAAATTAAAATGGCTCATATGGCTGCGCGCGCGTCATAAAACGCCCCGGCGTCACAAGCGGCCGCGAAAGAGAGTAAAGGAACTGTCTCTTTCCCGGGGACAGTTTTCCGATTTCATTTAGTTTCCAAATAGTTCCCTTTCGCCCGTCAAAGCGTTTCGTCGCGGCCGGTCGCTTCGAATCTAATTGGTCCAAATGATCTCTCATTTCCTTCGTTTTTTTCTTTCTCTTGCAAAGTCACGTGCTTTAATTATTCTGCCCACTTGCACCGTGAATGTCCGGTGCGTCGATAGTGTACCGGGTCGAGTTACAAAGGACGAGTTCTCTTCGTGTAACAGAGTAGAGAGAGAGAGAGAGAGATCGAGATCGAATTTATCTGCTTGAATAAATGTTTTCCGGCGGGAGCGTCAACATGGAAACAAACCTTTTCCTCGTGTTTGCGCGCGCGCGCGATAAAAAATTTCGGCGATTTTTTCCGCGCGATTTTCACAGGCAACCTGTCTCCCGCTGTTTGTCCCAAATCCCAGAACTATCCCTTCCATCAAAGGGAAGGGACGTATCGAGGCCCGGCCATTCTGTGACCTCAATTCGCTGGGCGGATTCGCCGGCAGCGCGTAATCAAAGGCCGCCAACCTTTCAGCATGACATCCTTTATACAAGCGTTCTCGAGGCCGGGGATCCCGCGAAACTGACTTTAGATCAACAAAAGCCGCTCGCCATTCGCCGAAATCCAGAACGCGCTTGTCCTACAGACGCGATGCCCGTCTTCGTATCCATGTGTAACAGTGATTCGCCGATCGGTCCTTCCGTTGGAAGGGAATCCCCGATAATATACACCCCGGTGGGGCCCAACGTGGAAATGAACAATGCGATTCGGCAACGCGATCCCATCGAGCGTCTCTTAACTACGTTTAGTCAAACTGACTATACGGACAGCAAGAAGATTTGTTACGAGTATGAATTGTTATTTGTTGGATATATGCACGCAAAGAGCGCACTAACGACAGTCGCTGGATATCGTCGTTGATTAAGGAGCAACGATATGGCAAAGGCGACGTTCCGCTAGTTACCTCCCGGCTGAGCCTTAACGCGAGGATCACCCGTCGTGCTGAATAAAATGACGTCCCACGGCGAGACAAGCCGGCACGGGGAGAACGAAGTTAGACACAGCAGGTGTAACTTAATCAGCGTTGACGACGCTGACGAGGGGCACGAGTGGAGGGAAATAAACAATGGAAAGTTCATTACTTCGTAATGGAGGACGACATTGGTCCCACTTCTGCGATACAACGTTATTGCGCTCCGTGCTTACTCGGGCAACGCCGTCCCCCTTTGCTTTGCGGAATACGGGAGTGCTCGAGCAGTCGTGCGTTGTAGATCGCGCGGGGATCGTCTCGAGGGTTCGCCGTCGGTGA